TAGTTTGCTGGCTCTTAACGGCTACCATTGTTGAAAATTGTGGTGATGATATCCTGGTTCCACATGTTAGGGACCTGTTGCTCGTCCAGGCATCGCGTACATGACTCAGCTATCTTCGTGACGGCCACCTGGTGAGCTTTCAGGTACATTTAGTCAACTCGAGCGGAACTATGAGGGCGCAACCATAACAGGTTTCTCATAATGGTTGCTGAACTAAAAATGAAATGTTTAAACACTGCCATCTGGGAGAATAGGACAGATATGTTACATTTGGTCATGACTTGTCGGGAAATTGGAACGTATTTTGGTCGTAGAACATGGACTGCATTCTTGGCGGTTTAAGCACATCCATTTACTGAGATGAATGGGGAACACCATTTTTCATTTTCCGAAGGATGTTCACATGTGGGTAGAGGAGCTTGTTGTTAACATGAAACCTTTCCGCTAGGCTCTGGTGATGTACTAATTTGTCCTCACGGACAAGTGTGTCATAGTAAATATAATGTACTATATATTTGCTCCAGTTAGTAGGGCTAGGGCTCTGTACACATGCCATACTGCGTCTCCTAACGCCATGCGTTTCCTGGTTCTATTTTGAATGTAAGATTGTGATCTTGCAGCACCAAGGGACTTATGTATCGATGCCGATCTTATCAGACCACTGAAATTGCCAGCATCCTTCGTTCATGCAGTATCAATGGATCCGTTGTCGGAAAAACTCCAGTTGGCATCTACAACAAGTTCCGTGAATGTGCCGTAGTGTGTGACTGTTCGAAACAAGCCACTATGCTTTTGTGAATATTCCGCATAACACACAAGGTCGTAAACTCTTGTTACTTGGCCACTCCGTCTCTGAGGGCTCTCCATCTTTGGATTCTTAATAATGAGCTCTGCTTTCGCGGACACTAAATCGAGCACGGATGGTTTATTACGTTCTCTGAGTCGGATGAGCGAACTGACATGGCTGAACTGTGGAGTGCTTCCAATTAGCTCTTGCACGTCGGCCTTAACTTGCTCGTTTGAGGACGCCGGAACTTCCAGATCGTGAAAATCGGTCGGCTGAAATGAGAACATGACTGTATGGTTGTCGTAGGACACTTCTCAAGACCGGTGTCAGGTGGGAGTATATCTTTGTGGTGGACATTAATGGACGATAAACAACCGCCAAATGACATGTGTCGTTGCGTCTCAGTCGCTGACCGCACCAGAGTGAGTCTATGATAATCGTTCCTGGATCGTCCACCGATTCAAACTGTAGGTCACTGCGGCAGCATAACAATACACCCCATTTTGCTAGGGCGATTTTTTCCAAGAATGGACAAACCATGTATCGCGACTTAGGCGTCGGTAATTTTTGAGTCCGACCGAAATTCCGTTGTGAATATGAGATCCCAGGTGTATGATGCTTGACGTAGCCGCAGTTCGGTAAGCTGGTTCAGGGGACTTTGTGCAGGAAAGGTTCTCTACTCTTAGCAATGAATGGGAGATGCATATTTTGAGCATCCTGTGCCAACCGATGAAAGGTCGACAGTTAATTGTTTTTGGGTGAAGCGATGGTGAACTCACTAGTGTCAGATTCTTGGATTCCACCATTACTTCTCGGCATCTCCCTTTGTATGTAATACATGGGATGTGTTTGTCAGTTTCATTGACTAACTGAATGGAGTTCTCCGAACTGTTGCCGGGAAGTGCTTCGACTAATTGGCTGCTCCTGTGTGTTGGTTTAGGGGATGCTGCTTTAAGCCGGAGTTAGGAAGCAAGGCTACTCAGTCCCTCATACCAGCACTCCAGCACCCTGATTGACATTTGTCTAGCTAGAAGGACCACTTTCACAATCTTCTGGCCACATCCTTTGTAGTTTGGCAAGCTTCGCAGCTTAGCGATCTATTGCTCTATGACATGGGAGAGATCCACCCTAATGTATGGCCACTGCTACTGGTTGGAAGTGGTCGTTTCACACAAATCATGAACTTCAGCCTTAGGAACACCGTGTACAAGTATGTTCCTAGCTACGGATTCCTTCCGGTAGTCTTCTAAGTCATGCATTGGCTGTGTGCGCTCGCTGCGCAGAACATCTGGGTAGATGCTGATGAAACACAACCCATTGCTGAGACGAGCTGTCGATAACAGGATAGCTTTTGCTTCATCGGCGAAACTCAACACAACTCGTTACAGTCTCGGTTCACCGTAGTGCTGTGGGTTTGGGTGAAGGGTACTGCTTGACAGTTTGACCGAACTAGCTGCAATTTCTATGATATCATATATGGAGTTCTACTAGTTCACATCAGCGTTAAATAAATAAATAATTGGTATATTCTCAACACAGCGAGACACACCTGAATAGGGGTGACCATAAGAAGAAAGTTGACGTCGTTTCTTAAAAGTTGGTGCAACTTATCGCTGGAATACTACGTGCAACTAGAGCAGAGTTCAACAGCCCAGTTGGTCTGCATACAAGCGGTGGAGGCTGCCTAAGTACCTCTTAGTCCGCTTCATTTAATTTTGGCTCAGTGGGAGTGGCTGTATGTCTAACTTTCTGGTTGCATTGGCAGCAATCAATTCCCAGCCACCATTGGTGTCGATGTCCTACTGAAATTTCGGAACAGTTTTCTAGTTGGACGAGTCGCTGATCGTAGTTCTTCCAATCGAACTGGTGGTTGTTGCTGCGGGCGCATTTGGGAAATTGGTGGTATTGACTTTAAAGGCTACAAGTGACAGATGTTCAAAGCGCTCCCCAGTCTCCTTCCTCAGGTTTAGGCTGAGCCTACTGGGAATGAGTGGATTTCGCTCGCTGTCGCGCCTTCTTTAAATGAATAACTTTGCGTATCCCTCATTTGTTCGATCATTACCACCAGTCTCCGGTGGTTCTGCGGTAGTTCACCTACAACCTTTACCAGTAGGATGACCACACTTACTTCAAATAATCACGGTGACTCTGGTTGTTTATTGTGTATATTCAACTGGTTTACTGTGAGCTTGGAGCACTTAGAGTGAAATTGGTTATGGCATTTGGAGCACTGGATTTTAGTTCATGCATTTTTCTGACAGGGAAGGAGGCCACTTACCACTGTTGAAATGGATGCAGTAACAAGGGCTTTGATTGGTTGTTATACTTTCATTGCGACAATGGAGGTCCTTTCGTTCAATTCCCGAGCAGTATGTTTCCTTGTGTGTCGCAAGTGCGCTGATTTGTCTTCATGTTCAATGTCTGCGCTTTCGGTGAGCCCAACCATGGTAAGGCTGGTTTAAGCGACTAGATCATTCACTCGATAAACAAAGCGACTGAACGATACCGATACAAAGCGTAAGTGTAATGTTTGACGGCTGTGGTTCATGACTGGTCAGATAAAACGCAGTGTTGACTTTCGTTTGTAACTACAAATGTTCCGGTATGGTTCGTAATTCCGAAAACACATCGACTATGTTTCTGCGGAACGGTGCGCAAGCCGCGATGTACAGATAATAGATGAACTACACATGCTAGAGTTGCAAGATAGAATCCACTAGCTAATGCCTGATAAAGTTGGATGGAATGAGTGTTAACACACCTAGGTGAGACAAAATACGGAAGAGAAAGAGCCAAAAATTTAAAGTGTGTCGTTCACGTAGTCACAATCCACTAGTTTTCCATCAGATAAGGCCTTCAAGTCTGTATAGTGAAATTCCGCAAGGAAAACCTAATCACCGGACCTAGGATTAACTTGAACAAAATGGGGAAATTAGGCAACCCAGATGGGCACCACTATTTGTCGAGAGGATGTCTGAAAAGTCGCCGTGAATCCTGAAGCGGCCTGTAGTGTTAGAGTACAGGGCACATAAATGGTTAATGTATTGTACGGGAACAGCATTCCACTGAGTTGAACGCACTCCTAAAATCGTGGAACATAGCTACTATCGGTCTGTGGTAGTGTAGCGCTACTCTAGCACCTGTCGCAGAGTGAGTACGTGGTCTATACTGCCTCTCCTGGACAGAAACCTGCCTGCTCTTCTTCAATCTGTGCTTCCTGTTCCACAGGGTCGAGACGAATGAGAAATGAGGTAAGTAATTTTGTCATCGCTGGCCTTAGGCTAATACCTATGTGGTTAGCATATACGGAGCGACAGCCCATCTTGTGTATTGCTACTATAACCAATTCAGTTAGCTGGAATGGTCTAAGCCTTTCAGACCTGTTCGTACTGTGAGGTCAGTTGATTGCAGCAAACATCACCACCGTCCTTAATTATTGCGGTTTGAATGGTATCCAGACAAGTATCTCAAAACGACTTACAGTAATCACCTTGTAGACATCAGTCTCTGTTTGAACCGCTAAACTAACTGACAATGGCTCATCGAGCACCATCTGAGTTAGAAGACGTCCGGGGGCAGGGAGCCAACTGATCTCTCGAAAGGGCTTCGCCTAACGAGCCAGCCGGGGCTCCTTATGATGAATCAGGGCGCATATGCCGTCAGTGATTATTTCACCCACACGCATATATATATGTATATATGTATATATATATATATATATATAATCATCTCCGTTACACATTGTAATGGGGAAATGGAACGCAGGACTAGGTACGTCTGGGTAACAAGATTATAGATATCGAGTGTAACTGACTTTATAATTAGGAAACAATTTAGCCATTCCTCAGCAGGAGTCAATCTTTCTATGATCAGACCGTTGCATTGTCGCAAGAAGCGTAACTCTACATAACGTGTCGACTAAAGTGAAAAGTAGCTATCTTTGCAAATGGATGCACTTTACCAACCGTGCGTTTGATCCAGCAAAACACGTTGCCTTCGTAATTACGTGCCTGAGCAGTTACTGAACCAGACGTATCTGGATAAATGTCGTCGCGTTCTGACAGCATCTATGCATTGTGTCTACAGTTTAGTAAAGAACATCAACTGATACGAAAGCAAAATGAGATTTTGAACCAACTTAGCAAAATTATGATCCATATCCGAAAAAGTGGTAAGCAGCATTAAAATGTCCACGCTTAATTTTAGAATTTACCTCGGGGTTACGTAATCCAAGCTGAGATTCTCTGCACTTATTGGCTGTGTTTGGTGATCGAGAGGAAAATAATCATAAATATAGTCGCACGCGCCATAGGGAGCAGCAGCCAAAAGAAATAGTATGCTAAGGCCAAACGGATTCATGACTTTTGTTGGAAAGAGCTGGCGATCATGTGCTGTAGGTCATACGAATCCACTTATCGACTGTCGGGATCACGTGTCTTAATCTGGTGTTTAATCCAACAGACAATCCGAAGTATCATCCAATGTGCACAAAGGCATTGCTGCGCTAGCTTTCAACTTGTTAAGCATCAACAGACGGTTTCGTTTTAAGCCACAAGCGTTGCTAGGTACATTTTCCGTTGTAGTCATAAGGGTTGTCGTCTCAACTGAAGGGCCTACAATACTACTTTGCATGTACCTTTACATAATGACAAAGACTCACCATCTGTAGCATTAATGGACAATACAGACAGATGAGAAGAAATACTTCTGCTCAAGGATTCACATACTATGCTCACTTAGAAGATGCAATATCAGATGCAAGGTTCTGCCAGTCGATCGGGATAATCTATGAAGTATTTGATTTTAGTGCAGAACGTTAGGTCAGCTTCCGGTGGCCTTTGGATAAACCAAGGAGCAAATGTGTTCATCGTCAGAGAAGGTTAGTCTATGGGACTATGACACTTTACACATATTTATAGCACGATTGCCTGCCGAAATAACTCCTCTTGTTGTTAGCTGCGAGGTTTGGAATTAGCCCGTTCCAGCTAAGTGTTCACTAGCAGTATTCCATAAAGTGGAGGGTTTACGAATGGCAAGCGATCTATTTGTAAAAATCAACAAATATCGGTTTAACAACACTGCGACATAGCAGATGTGACTCGCCAATAAATTAAATCATTGCTCCTATTAATAAAGGAAGTAGTTGCACTGACGCTGCCAATCAACTTCTGATAACGCTGCTTGCTGTGCTTTCTAAGGTTATGGAAGCAATCATCGCAGGCGTACCGATGCAGTATCTGGAAAACCGCAGCATAATACTCCTGGATCAACATGACTTCCGCCAAAAGCGATCATATACTCCAAACCCCTTAGTTGTACGCAATAATTGAACTGAAGCAGTTGATGTCTGAACAATACTCGAACTCATATACTTGATAATCTCAAAAGCGTTTGATCACTTTGACAACGGAATTCTCCCCTGTAAACTACAGAAAAATAGCTGTGGTAACCTAATCCTGTGTTAGATCTATATAAGTAAATATGTTCGATTAGACATTAATAAATAATGCAGCTGATCAACACTATGGCCACTGATGTCTGTTGCGCTCCATAACCTCCTGCGTTTCAAACCACTGGCAGTCCGAATCGCGTGGTACCAATCCAGGAAGGTGGACCGGTCCAAAGGATGCTAAACTCGAGTTGGTCTTCTGCACAATTATTCTCCACGTCAATGGTTGTCCACCGCGACACTTTCCAATCGCTTCTGGGAAGCGCAACTAAAGCTCGATGGGGAAAGCGATAGGCTGGCATGAGTAGTAGGTAAGAGCCAAAGCATCCGGTTTTCGAGAATACAGTTTCGAGGGCAAGGGCTATTTGCTCCAAGGACTTGGTCGCAGATTTCTGTGTGCTTATTTTATGTTGCCACTACACGCGAGCAATCCTAGACAGAGCAGGCTTGTCAGAAACCGCCAATCGCTTCATGTCTTCCGGGCAAATGGGCCGGATCTCACAGCCGTACAAGAGGACCGCACGGACAGAGCCAACGTACACTCTGCCCTTCAGCTTGAAACTGACATCGCGACGACATCATAGGTGTATCAGTCGGCTGAATTCAAGCCTGGCCTTTGCCATCCGTTGTGAGACCTCATCCCTAACACCACCGTCGTGTGATGTAACTCACTAGAGAAGTGAAGCAGGGGACTTATTCCAGGATGTCACAAGCAGTCGTTAGGGCACGTACAGGCACCGGCCAAGCCTGAAGTAGCATAGTACATTTGCCTGGCTCAAAACACAGGCCATAACTAGATGCGTCTATCGCCAAGCGGTTCAAAGCGCTTTTGACGCTTTTTGGATCGTCCTCAAGCAAAGCGATATCACCGGCGTAGTCCAAGCCCGCGACGTTGTCCTCAGGGGAAGCTCAATACCACAGTTTTAATGACCTTTCCATGCTCGTTGCATGACCTCGTTAATGTAGAAATGGAAGGAAAAAGGTGCGATGGAGCGACATTGGCGCATGCCGCTGAGCATAGCAAAAAGTGAGGAAATGCAACTGTAAGTCTTAACTTTGATCGAATCGTGGCTGTAGGGTTCATTCTGGATGGTTGCAAATTTGTCAGTCGCACCGTTCCTTATTAGGTTGTTCCACAAAGCAGGTCAATCTATTGAGGCAAATGCCTCTCGTATATCCAAGAACATTACGACTGTTGGCTGTCGGGGCATTTGACGGAGTAAAGGCGCGAACAACTGTTCGATGCAACCACTGCCCGGACGAACATCTACTTGTTCTTCTAGGGAAAAGCGTTCTCTAATCGCTGAAAGTCTACGGAGTGGGATAGATACGAAAATCTTGGATGCAACAGCGATCAACGAAATTCCGCTGTAATTGGCGCAACTTTCGCTGTAGTCTTTCTTGTGAATCTGGACAATGACCGATACCGAATCTTCTTGTCAGTCCAAACCTTAGTGAGCTGTCACAGGACTTGCTGGCACGTGAATTCTAGCCATCTTCGAATGGGTGGCAATTTTGCTGCATGTATTTCGGTTGGGTTTCCTGTCCGGGTGCAATTTATTTGGAGTGCGGTGTACCATATAGCTCAGCGCTGGACCTCATCAGTTCTTGTAATTTCTAAACAAGCTAAAGTGGGCAATAGCATGACGGCTGAATTTTCACAGAAATTATCAAGGTAGGACGGGCGATCAAGAAACCGGACAACCACGGAGAGCTCTAGCGCGATTTTAACACGATTTGGAAGTGGTCAGTTCAGAATACCCTACTGTTTAATGTAGAAAAATGTTGCGTAGTTTATTTACGCCACACGTATTGCAAAGTACTTCGCATGGGCATGACCTCACTGTGTTTATGCAACGTGACTTAAACTGTTCAAAGCAGTCTGAGGCAGTTTCGAAAAGCGGCAACCAGCAAGTCGGTCTGCAGCGGACGGCATTCGGGAGTTTTGACCCACCAATCTCCCTTACATGCGTCCTCACGTAGTATGCGCTATCCAAGCTTGGCAACCCTGGCTGAAGCGCAACTTTAGGTGCTAGCGACACCATAGTGTAAGGCAACAAAGATGTCTAGGACCCACGCAATCTGTCTTAGCAGAAATGGCCGAAGTTGATGAGAGTTTTCAACAGAAGCTATTGTGGCCACGTGGTTATCTCATATTATTGTGCTAAATATCGAATGACCCTAATCCCGAATGCCGTCACTTGCTGAAAGTGAGTCATAGCACTAAACTCAGAGGTAAATGCCGTCTAGAATGCCGACAGAAGTATTTTTCTCTTCGGGTTTGCCAACCAAGGAATTCTCTCGTAAACTCAGTTGTCCTCAAAAACTTGGACGTTTTCAAAAAACGATTGGATGTTGCCCTTGCATATTATCACTACGTTACTTAGCCTCTACTACTTCAGAATATAGTAATCGTGCCTTCAAACCGGATTTATGTGTCACGATGACCAACACAGGCGGTACATGAATTGAGTATTCTCATGGAATACGTTATCCAAAATCGTCTTCGTCTTTTCTGTTTGCTTGCATTGAATTCCCACTTTACACTACCGTTTTTTCAGAAGCGCATTACTCGATACACACTTAAACGGACGGCTCACGTATCTATTGATATGGCAGTTGTCACCGCAGCCATCCTACGGGATTTTCAAGCACCTGCTATTTTGCTCGCGATCAATTATTTTCCAATGATCACGCTTCTTGCGCACTGCCTTCTAACAATCTGCTGCCGAAATGCTGGGCAGGATGGCCCCTTGTTTGTTAACCGACCAAAAGAAAGACGCATGAACTGAGTAGTAGATCACCGACTCTTGACGGTTGTCATTCCCTAGCTTCGCTCCGCTTCCTTACGGGCATGCTATCTAGCCAAGGCCTAGGGGTGGTGTACACTAAGACAATCCCTACTTCGGCTTGCGCAACAGGATAGTATCACGCACGCTGCTCAAACTATGGCTACTTCAGTTGCTATCCCGCGCCCAACTACCATATCTTCGGCTACTCACATACCTTCACACGCTACTTGTTCATTTGTTACCAAGCCCCGTTATCCATTACCAGCCGATTCCTGTTTCCATGATTCTACACCTGATTATTTCGTCGAAGATCGCAATACTCGACCCTTGTGCCTCCTTCGACCCCTACCCGCGTTCAGTTCAGCATACTTCAATGTACATACGCTCATACAGGTCGGGCAGTACGTTGCCATCGCGCACTTCGGAATCCCATGGAATCCCATCGATGTTTTTGTCTTTCCGAAACATGATTACAAAATCCCAGTACCGTCATTGAGTTGTCATCCCAAGCAACCACAGGTGCATTTTTCTGCGCTTATCTGATAACACAGAAGCATCCGTAGCGGGCTTGACTGATATTGTTGTAGCACGAAGTAGCAAAGCCAAGGCCGTACTGCTGGACTAGTTCCAGATTAACAGCCGACTGTGTGCAATTCGGCTCCGGCGATCAAGCAAGATCTACAGACGTCCTGAGGTGAGACAACTTTCTTGTGATGTCAATGTGCACTGCAATTGACTGCAGTTGTGACTTGGACGCGATGAAGTTTATCGTGTGATTCACCAGTTCCTGCGCAGAGCTTGCAAGTCCGGTATTATTATATTGCTGTGAATGTCAACACACGAATCGGTCGTCTAGTAGGTAAACGTCATGTCACTGTTTCCTATGAGCTAGATAAGAGCCTCTCATATAATGGAACAATGGTATAATAAGGGTCAAAAAGCCAAGGCTTGACAAGCCCAATGCGATATTTGTGGGAATAATGTTAGTTCAATTAAGTTGCACAAAAGTGAAAAACGCGTCTGTGGACTCAACATATTATCCAATCTAACACACAACTATATCCGTCTACCCCGATTAACTGGACGTTGGTGAGCACAATGTTTGTCTGCGTCTTGTC